ATATAAATCTACATGCATATATATATATATATATACATAAATATATATACATATATATGTATATAAATATAAACATATATATATATTTATATATATATCTATACATGTATGTACATACATACATACATACAAATATAATCATATAATCATATACAAATAGATATGCAATTGTACACAATACGCATACAAGAGGCATGGATGTCCATGCAATCTAATATACTCACACTACTATGTGCGTGGTAAGTTATATACACGCAGATGGTATATACATGCGCGGGTGTTAACTTACGCCCAGTGTCGTGGCTAGTGCCGCTCCCCCAAACAACGCCGCGCCTTTCCCGACGTTATTTAACACTCCCCGTGTATCCGCAGCCTACAAGTAGAGCCAGCGTAGCAAGAGCATAGAACATTCAGATATGAATCAGTACAAATAAGTATACATAGATCATGGCGATGAAAGTAAACTAATGTGAATGCCAGAGACGCACCCACGGGCATACGCGCACTTGCATAATTATAGGAGCACATCATGTACATACCTGACTGACTGAGTTTAGGCCATAGAGCATGTGTACGCCGTACTCCAGCACATCCTTGTTGGAGGCGTTCGAGTTCTCCTCAATCTTCTTCAATAGTTCCTATATATATATATATGAATAGAAGGTTTGACCAGAAAGTCAATACAACAATGTTTTTAGTAATCCTTCAAAACGTCGGGTCATTCTTATTGCGTACGAATGGATTCTGAATGTTTCCGTATGCTAGCTGGGTATAGCTCCTTCTATGAAAAAGAAACTTGCAATTACAAACGGAATGGAAGAACGAACACGCTCTCGCACACACAGTTTTCCATCCTACAACAAACCTCTCACTTGACTACCGCCTAACGTTGGCCTTTGCTTTCTGCATAAAAATATTCACCTAACCTTACGCCTACCCACTTAGCCTTACGCTTACCCACCTCATAAACCTATATCTTAAACTCAGCCACTCAAATTCCTTCCGCATACGCATATTCGCTCAACCTTATACCCTCTCATCATACACCCCACCACTCAGTCGCCCCTCGGCGGTGGCCCTTTCCCTCCGCATACATATATCTACTTAATCTTACACCCACCCACCATATACCCACTCCCGCAGTTACGTACCTGCCCCTCCGCGGTGGCCTTTTCCTTCTGCATGGCCAGTTTCTGTTCGTCAGTCATTTGCGCTTTGGTGTGCTCTGCCAGCAACTGCAAGAAAGCGTCTTCCATTAATTCGTCCCAATTCGAATGCGGATGTGACCTAAAAATAGAACATTTAAGCCCCCCACCCCCCCAAAAAAGGAACAGACAAAACATGAGGTGTTATAGTGTTGAAAATGCTCAGTATGCAATCGACATACTTTGACACAAAACATTTCATGTGATATAGCTATTACATCGACATACATCTACGCAAACCGTTTTATGTGACATAGCTGTTACATCGACATACATCTACGCAAACCCATCGACATACATCTACGCAAACCGTTTCATGTGATATAGTTGTTACATCGACATACATCTACGCAAACCGTTTCATGTGACATAGCTCTTACATCGACATACATCTACGAAAACCCATCGACATACATCTACGCAAACCGTTTCATG